CGAAGTGGTCACTCGCTACCAAAGAAAAAATTCATAGAAGATGGCCCTAACGGATGTGGCGCTGCGATGGCCATGTGAAGATACAGACCGCTACCATGTGGATCCCTAGTCAGTCTCGGCAGCAGGTTCCGATGCATCTTGGGCATGTTAGCTCGGAACAGCCATTCAGCTAGACAAGGTATGTTATGCACGCGGGCGCTCATATTTGAGACTTTTGAGATCACGATTGTGTGCATTAAAGGGCCGACGCAGGGTCGACTCCAATCACGAAGCTCACGAACCCAAAGCGGCGCGCATGGCATTTGAGAAGATTCAAAATTCTTTGCGATTTTTTGTATCTAATATGAAGATGTTGGGGAAGTTCCTCCAATCGTTCGCGAGCCGTACATAGCTGTGAGGCGCAGACAATGCGCCCCAACATTGCTATAGGCTTTGGACGCCGCAGCTCCAGACTACGGCCACCAAGGATTCGATACAAGAGAACACCTCTGACACCAATATCGCCAACACGGTAACGCCGGTGTAATGTTTTGAATAATAGACCAAAAAGACCCTACAATGCAAGAAAACAGGGTGTGCTTGCCGTGGTATAAATTCGAGTGGTGAAGGCGTAATGGGAATAATGGCTCGGCAAAGCCAGATCTAGTAGGTTTGTTGAAATAATATGGGTGGGAACGTGAAAGTGGTAAGACAGAAGCTGTTGTGCCGAATTGAAGGAAGAAGTTGAACGCCATGTAGCCGGTCCGATGCCGCTATGCAACGCTTGGAAGAACGATCAAGATCGGTGGTGTACACGGCGGAAGATTGCCTCAGTGGGTGAGACAATAGATAATCATAATGGCTTCGTAATGGGGGTGGCTGAGACGCGTGGCCTCGATGATAAGATGTGGTTGTGGTGGAAGGCCAACATGATGGGTGCTTTGGCATGAAGTGGGTGACTTGTGCGGTGCGAGCTCTGGTTGTTATTTGATGACGCGACCTTTTCCTTTTCCTTTGGTGATCTTGCCCGCACCGCTGGACGTAATCTTGCTGGTCTGCATTAGTTCACCAATGTACCTGGAGCGCGTTAGTCATATTCTTTCCAAGCGGGCGCTGTGACGAAGACTCACGACTGGAGGAAGCGGTTGCCGCCCTCTAGCTTCTCGTGTTCATTCTTGACCACTTCCACGCGGTCAACAATCTCCATGAGGCTTGCTTGGAGTTGTTTCGCTTGTCTAAAGTACTGGTTAGTTGACTGTGCATAAGCAGAGATAGAGGACGGTGGAGAGGCTGCAACCGTGACGAAGAGCGAACATCGTCTTGGTAAAAGCGACGTCGACGAAGAATGGATAGGGTTGACTCACTCTATCAATGCTTGTCGCGCATCTTGGCCCATCTTCTCAATCTCCTCACTGCTTCGTCGCGGACTCATGGTGCGGGCATCGCCATCGTCGTATTCTTCCTCTTTAAGCTCAATGTTTGGGACTATCACGTGGTATTATGATAGTGCCACTGGGACTTCCTGCTACCAAGACGCGGGCGAGGGTGCAGAGAGGGATCGGTTTTAGCATGGTCGTGTTCGCTGACTGAGGAACCCGATGATGTGGTAGACATGTCGTCAGGGTAGGATGGTCGTCGGATGTCGTCCTCGACGGCAGACGGGTATTGTGTGAAGGTGACTTGGGGGTGGACCGACATTTCAACGTGTGTGCGGCTCTGTGAATGTAGGGTGAGAAGAGTTGGAGTCGGCAGACCGGCCGTTTAGATCAAGTGGGCAGCCGCCAAGACGATAGACGGTGGATGCGGTGGGCGTGGTAGGCAGATGGAAGCAACTATGCCGCTTTGGGGTTTCAAGGGTCCCCGTAGTGTGCGCAGAAAAGCCGATGCCCCTGCGTTCGTGGTGTTGGCGCGGTAGAAGCTGGGTGGAATGTGGGATGACGACAGCGGAATGCTCTGCAGGCGGCAGGCCTCGTGGCGGCTTTGCTAGCCCCGTGTTTTCTCTCGCCAGCCCCGCGCAATGGTGTCGAGGAAGGTTCAATAGCAACTGAGCTTTGAGCTTCGCGGCTTTGTGAGGCACACCGTCGGCCCCTTTGGTTTGATGATGGTGATCGCCACTCCAAGCGCTAGGTGGGTGCAGGCCACGGATGAGAGAAGCGGAACCCAGTCGGCCGGTGGAGACTTGACCAGTTGTTCACAGAATGCGTTAGCGGCGGAGAGAGAAACGTGCAGACAGTAATTCACAGAAGGATTGAAAGTGTGCCGAAACCGTTATGACTCTCTCCATTGATAATGTCCAGCGGGCACGTTAAAGCGCTGGCTGCCGCGACAAGTGATCAGCCCGCGCAAACCTCCATTCAGGTGGCAGTGACGTCCCAGGGTTGGAGCCCGCCGATCTCTAGCGCGCGCCCCACTTAATGACGTCGTTCTGCCGATTTTTCCGTTCCATCGCGACATGCTCACCACCGCAGCCCAATCAGACCCCGTGACGTTGGTCCCAAGAGGCAACCCGCGCAACGCAAACCCCCAACCGCAATGCGCACGGCGCTGCACTGCAAGGCCACGACCTTCCGCCGTTGTGGTTCTCCGCTATCGCGACAACTGTTTGCAGACATGGCCAGCTCAACGCGCCCAGCATGTCCACGCCCACCCCTCCCTCACCTCGCCACAGTGCTTTATTATTACTTCCCAAATACCGCCAGCAATTACGGGTCAAGAATGCTCACGCGCCCGCCCCTCGTCTCACGCCCGCGGCTAAGCTGCTGATCCCTTCTTTTGCCTGCCTCTTGTTTCGTCGCGGCTCCAGCCTCAATCATACAAGATCGTCATAGAGTTGGACCCTGCGCCATAGCCCTGCACACGAATACCGTTACGAGAGACACAGCCGGTGCTTACTACGCTGCTTGTCGCCTGTCGCCCGCTGTTCACCACAGCACTGCACAGCACTGCACAGCACTCGTCGCATTGTGCCAGTCTCCAAGTGCTGCACCTTTTTCCCGTTGGCTCTGTGTAACACCGTGAACCGTCCTGGTCATGCATACGTCACACCCGACCACCATTGCTTTGTGTTTGATCGTCGTGTAGCACTGCGAGCTGAGACGACCGTCGAGCGTCCCGCCTTCAATACAGTCCGCCCGAGCGGAGAGGACCTCCCACGCTCGGAGCGAATCGTCGTGTCAAACGATCAGGCATTGTTTCCGCCTTCCCCTGCTCTGGGGTCAGCACGCCGTGGGTGCGTCTTGCCCTTCCCACCACCCGCCTTCCACTGGTTCGTACACGTCGATCGCCCAGGGTTGGTGACGCTCCCTTGACTGCGTGAGCGCCATCATTCGTCTCAGTGAGCGCGGCCTCGGACGCTGCTCTCCCAGATGACCTGTCATCGTCCACCTGCTACGCTCAATAATGCGTGCGATATGCTCTACTACCATGGTAGGACGTCGTCGATTCATGTTATGTGGCATTGAGTGCGTCAAAGTGTCACCGCTCTTCTGCCCGACGGCGATCGTTCAGAACCACGGTATTGCAATCTACATTTACTTCGTGATGATAACACCCGAGACCTTCAGATTGCTGGCGGAAATTGTTCTAAACATAGGTCAATGTCCGTTATAAATGCAGCTTGGGGTCAGTCACGACATCTCATATTGTCCGACCAATAGTGGATATTATCTCGTTCCCCAACGTGGATAGGTAAAGGAGCTATGAGGCCTCCCACTGTCCTGCCATCCCATCGACTTTGCCTCGCAGTCTGATGTCGATCAAATTGATACTAAAGCAGCACTAAGCACCTTGTTCTTGCAACTACTTGCCGACCGGTAATGACTGCCCTTTCAGTGACCTTTCACTAATGAGCACGTGCATTGCTTTGATTCGATGCAGCAATACACTCCATTTCATCACATAGGTGGTTGCTATTTGCTTTGATAATGAACACCTGAGCACGTGGCGCACTGTAAGTTTGTAGTCGTGCAAGACCGTTATGCAGGCACTGCAACCCAACCCGCACATTGAAACAGTAGCATGATATACTCGCCATTTCATCTTCACTTGCGTGATTTGAACAGTGTATGCCCGGTCCAAAGGTCGTTGAAACCGCAGTACTCGGTATGAAGAGCTGCGTATTGGCAAACTTCCATGCGAAGATTCATCAAGTATGTCATATCATGACACGCATGACGTCTTTTGGCAGACCTTGCGTTTAGAGAAGCAGATGTCTTCGCAGGGCTTTGTGCTGTCCTTTTCACAATTAAATTCTGCGGCCCGAATCGTAAACCTCTGGTCGGCGAAGACGTCTGGCTCTGACCTCATTGTTCATTCGTCGGGTCTTGTGTCTGATACTCTTTACCCTTGCGACTCAGTTCCTTCGCTCCGCCTCATAACGTATCGTAGGGAGGAATATTTGCACCTCTGTGAACCTTGGCATGAACACCAGTGGATACGGAAGAACATTGCGCGTCTTTCAGTACCGGTAAGCTCCTTCTGTGGGGTAACACGTACCGATCCCTGGCAGCCACTTCAATTTGCTGCAGGCGGTACCTGAAACATACAAGGTGGGCCCCTCTTCGCATCGGCCCGAAGAGCGCGATGACGACTACACGTTCTTGATTCAAGTCACGCCTCATGATTGCATAAGGGCTCACCGCTGTAGCGCCGTTGCTCCGGCGCTGTCCGAGAGCGCAGGGCTGGGTGACTGGGTACCATAACCGGACGCAAATATATCGCTTCGAAGAATGACCGCTTATGAACCAGGGTGTATGTATAAAGTACATGGAAGTGTGCGTGTGAGTTCATCGATTCTTACTTCCGCGACATGGAGTCACTTGTAGACGGTATATTACTCGCCTCTAGATTTCCATCTTTAGCATCAGATGTAGCCCTTGAGGGCGTTCATACTTCTGACAGTGGGCCGTGACATGATAACGGCCGTTAATTTCTGTTTCGATAAAGAAACATTCCTCGGCGCTTTTTCTTTCTGTCTTCACACATGCACACTGGCAAACCAACCTGGTTACCACATCCCGCAGTCCATGATTCACCGTGCGGTGGGCCACGCTGCCACAGCATTACTTCTTGAGAGTGTCCACAGTATGCTAAAGGCGTTCCAGCTCTATTTGCAATTATGATCATCCAAACGAAGAGTAGTAATCCATTCATCTCTAAAACTCGTTGTAGACAACGAAGAACATGGAAAGGTGATCAGGGCTCTACTAATGGTGTTGGCAAGAAGATAAAAAATCTCTTCAAAGTCTCGCAGTATCGATGTTGTGGATGTGGCAGCTAAACTTTTGAATAGGTGAAGAATTCCCTCAAGTTGGCAGCCAACTTCACAACTACATGACTTAGAGTAGGTAAGATACTCTCGCCGGGCTTCATCCGTGACTTCATGGTTGTACAGTCTTAGTATTCTCGTCAACTGAAGCGTTCTGGTCTCCATACATCAGTAGAATTATGTGTCCGCATGCCGGTCCTTTGGCAAAGACCTTGCATAGTTCGCTGACCTAGCAGTCGCGCAATCATGAGATGCTCCATACTTCGTGTTATACCAAGTCGCATCATACGGAAAACCTCAACTACCCCTACTTGAGAAATATATTGAATATGCAGTGCTAGTTGGGTCAATTGCTTGCATAGCTGTTGCGAGCTTGGTGGTGGTTTCGCCAAGATACCTTGGTGGTTTAGACTTTACTATGGCGTCACCGCTGTGCTAGTGGTGGCCTGTGCGAATCACAAACATCGACAGTCTCATCGTTGCATCGTAGCTGCAGACAATTTGTGGTACAAAGCGGTCTACCACGCTTTGTCTGTTCTCTTTTGTTGGCTTCCGTCTTCAGCGATCTCTGCGCGTCTCATTTAGTGTTCATTACAGATATGCTCGGAATTTTTGAGCTTTCGCTGCAGGTACTGAACTCGTTCAATCCAGCAAAATATGGTGCGTTTGTTTATTTGAAGATTGAATGAGGTGGTTCGCTGCGTCTGCAAATAAACGACTGACTTTTAAGGTGGATATGGAGGACAAGTGCCAATTGTGACTGGACAAGAGGTCGTGAAGCGTATGCAACATCACAATGACACGAACTCGATCAACATGCTGACAATGAGCTAGCCACGCCTACCACCAAGTCGGCAAGTCTACCAGACTATTTTGTGACAGACGATGGGCACTTTGCTGGTAACACTCACAACACGAAGCTGATACAGAGTTCCTTATATTTGCCTAGGTCCTACGCAAACTGGCGATGCACCATGGCTCGCTCAGACGAATGCAGCTCCGTTTGCTGGCGTTTCGTACATACCAAATACGCCCCTTGAGACTCAGATACCAATCGCTGGTAATGTCAACAACACCAACATCTTCCAGCGCCTGGCTATATTGAGCCCATATTTCCCCAATCCTCGTGGCTTCGGTGTCAACGAGTATTCCGTTCCATTCGGATCGAATGTGACGTGGTTGAACATGGTCCATCGTCATGGCAGTCGCTATCCTGAGGTCAGCGGAGACGCAGCTGAACGTACTCTTGGCCTGAAGCTTGCGGCAGCTGAAGGAAAGTTTGCAGGCCATGGCCCTCTCTCCTTTCTCAACGACTGGAAATTTATGCTCGGCGCTGAGATTCTGGTCCCCAATGGAAAAGCGGAACTTTTCCAGTCAGGAACCTTGCACTACTATCAGTATGGCCACTTGTACCCAAACAATGGCAGTAAGATCATAGTCCGCAGCACAACCCAGCGCCGTATGTACGAGTCAGCTGAGTACTTCCTTGCTGGCTTCTTCGGTTTGAGTTGGACGCAGAATGCAACATTGGAGCTAGCGATAGAGTGGCCGGGTTTCAACAATACCTTGGCGGGATACAAACAATGCAACCATACAGGCTGGCTGACGGCTAGAGAAGGTAAGCAACAGTTGATTGCTATGGTAATAGCGATGCTAAAGTACAGCAGCTTTAATGGAATGGGTTGGCGTGTACCTACACGACGCTCATGAGCGGATTCGGACAAATATCACAGGCGACCTCGACTGGACTCTTAGCGATACATGTAAGCATCCACTGATGCGACGAAGAGAAGGTTTACTGACAGTTATAAGATAACGCCCAAGCTCTTTGTGCATATGAGACCGTTGGGCTCGGTTTCTCTCATTTCTGCGGTCTGTTTACCTACGAAGAATGGGAGGGTTACGAATACGCACTTGACATCGCATTCTCTGCTGGTACAGCCTTTGGTTCACCCGTCGGACGAGCAATTGGCGTTGGTAAGTACAAAGCTCCACTCTTCCGAGGCTTGTCTAATATGCTGTAGGTTACGTACAGGAAGTATTGGCCCGTATGCAACACCATGTTATTACTGACCCTGCTGCTCAAATCAACACCACGCTCGATAACAACACTGTCACATTTCCAGTGGATCAAAACATCAATCTAGATTTTAGCCATGATGCGAACATCATCAGCATTCTAGCCGCGTTTGGTTTGACGCAATTTGCAGATTATCTGCCCACCTCCCACATCAAGAAGGACAGAGAATTTGTTATGTCTTATTTAGAGCCTTTTGCTGGAAGGCTAGACATTGAGCTCATAAAGACGCCCACACCGGTCAATCCAGATAGATCCGCCAAAAAGATCTACCTCGATGGCGAACCAACAACTTACGTTCACTTCATCCTCAATCAACGTACCATACCCCTGGGCAAGAGCCATAAGGACTGCGGGAACAGGGACGACGCGGTGTGTGCGAGATGTCAATATTCCTCAGGGTCATGGAGAAGGAGATTGAAAAGGCTGATTACGACTATGCATGCTTCGGAGACTACGACCTACCTGCGTACGGCGAAATCAAAGATGGTCGTCCGATCAGGTAGTCTGTATAGCTTCACAGCATCAAAGCACACCAATTGCGCACTTGATAATGCAGCCTGCATATTCACAGAGGTATCTTACAATATAATGAAAGAATAGCAGTGTGGCATCTACTAGTGTACAACAAGAAGGAATACATGGTAGCGAAACTAGCGTTGCCAATACTACTACCACCACCCCACCTCCCCTCTGCTTCCAAACTCTAGTTCACCCACAACAATTTCCTCTTCGGAAATTTCCTTGAAATTCCTGACCTCCTCCTCACCTCCCTCGCTCTCCCTCCACTGCTGGTACACAGCCTCGGAGATGATCAAGTCCCCGGTATCGAAGGGAACGGCCCATTTGCGCTCCGGCTTTGCCGGAACGAACATCTCTTGGCGGCACATGGGGCATGTTGAATTCTGCTCTGTCCATGTGAGCAAGCACTGGTAGTGGTAGAAGTGCTTGCAGAGGGGGAGTTGATGCCCGCCGTTGTCGGTGATGGGTTCGAGGCAGATGCTGCAATCCTCTTCGCATGTCTTGATGGCCGTGGTGAATGTGACTAGGAGCTCACAACGCCTCTCTTCGCTGGGGGCAGGGAAGATAGACATGGTTGTGGTGTTGAAGGGGAAAGTTGTGTGTGTGTGTGTGTGTGTGTGTGTGTGATGTGTGAACAAGAAGGAAGTGGGCGATTTTTGATCTAAATATCATCCTGAGGACAATGGCGCTATTTCGAATCAACTCGATACCATACTTGGGACATTGATATTGCCAGCACGCTTTTAGATCACATAAAGGGTTCAGATCAACTCTGCAAAGCGCGGTAGACAAGTCTGAGGATGTTCGAGGTACACTACTGTGAACCAATGGCTCACTAACAATTGCGACCAACAGATTCAACCCTATCTCCAAGGTTGAGAATATCGACCCACCCTTCTGGCATTGGCTTACCACCCTTGTGACCCTCGTGCAGCCATCTCTCGCCATCGTAGCCAAACTCGATTAATGCATCCTCGCTACCCCAATCACCATGCCCACTCAGCCCAATCGGAACCTTTCCTTTGCCCTCGACGGCATCCGCATAGCCTACCGGCAATTGAATGCATGGAATTCCAGTAAAGTTTGCAAGCCACACATATTCCATACTCCTCAGCGTCATGTTAGCATTCGACACACCGCAGGCCAGGTCCGCATCCTCGATTGGCCAGCCTACATTTGGCGTCGTAGGCGTGACAATGATCAAGCCGGGGTGTTTTTCGAAGAGATGAGCCAAATGCTCCATGATCACGTTCCGAACACGCTGTGCTAACAAGAAATCAATAGTCGGTGTCTGCTTCGCGACGCTCATCAGGATCCGGTTTGCGGGCGTGAGGCCCCAGATTGGACGACTCAGATCAACGCCTTCAGCTAGAATAGTCATAGCATGTGCGAGTTGGCCTTCTTGCAATAACGGTATGGTGATGTCGATGATCGTATAACCCAACTCGGACTGCATGTATTGCATTGCAGATTGACAGGCTTCCTGTACGGCGGGATCGGCACGGTCGAACCAAGGCTTACAGATGCCGATGATCTTGTTGCGTGGGCCGGTGTGCGGCTTGGGAGGACTGAAATGTGAGGAAGGATAGCACGAAGGGTCAGGCTGAGCAAGCACACGGTAGGAGATGTCCAGGTCTGCCATGCTCGTTGTTAATGGACCACGCACCACGACTGACTTCATTCCACCCGGCGTAGGGGCGGTCGAGACGCGGCCATGGGAAGTCTTGAGGCCAAAGAGTCCACAGTAGTTGCTGGGTATACGGACTGAGCCACCCCCGTCAGAGCCGATGCCGAAAGGCACGATTCCGTGACCTACAGCAGATGCGACGCCTCCTGATGAGCCCCCCGTATAATAGGAGGCGTTGTAGGGGTTCAGTGGAGTGCCCCAGATGGGGTTGTTGTTCGTTGTGTCTAGCTTTCTCAGCTCGCATGTCATGTTATTCAGCCCAATTGACACTCACCAGAGCCCAGTTCATGCATGTTCAGTTTCCCGATCAGCACAGCACCCGCTTCCTCAATCTTCTTCACGCACCAGCTAGTCTCCACTTCCTTGCCTTCAGTGTAGTCGTGGCCGGTGCCCACGTGCCTCTTGTAGCCCCTGACGTCCAAGTCGTCCTTGACCGCAAAAGGGACGCCGTCCAGGATGCCCAATGGCTTGCCTGCCTTCCAGCGCTGTGTAGAAGCCTCAGCAGCCTGTCGGACCAGCTCCACTTTGCTCTCTGTGAAGGCGGTGGAATGCGGACCACGCTTCGCAACATCTCTGCGTATCATTGGCAGCAGAGCCTCGACCACAGAGGTGGGCGTGAGGGTGCCACTCTGGTAGGCATTGTGGATATCCTCGATGGTGTGGAACCGCGACTGTCCATCCTTGGGCGGTGCGCGGGACGAGCCGGCGACGTTTGCATAGCTTCCAGGAGCGTCGTCGCCGGGCTGGGCGAGAGGGATGACGGTAGGATCAAGGCGCGGCTCTGCATCAGCAATCTCCTTGCAGCTGCGGAGCGTGCCAAAGCCGGCATTGCTCCATAGTAGATACTGGACGAAGGGTACCGCTGCAACACTGTATACGTCAGCTTCTGCGCATTTGCATCTTGTAGCGCACAGACAGGTTGCTCAGATAGTGCAAGGTGCTCCCCTTGATCACGGGGTTCTTTGGTGGTGGTGGTGGTGCTTGGTACGTGGCTTCGTTCGCCCTGGGGTTCGGGTAGTTGAAGAAGCGAGCATTGCGACTGCTGTTCGACATGTCGGCTACAGCTTGCCAAATGGCCAATTGAAGTCGCACGACTGAAACGCTGTATAAGTGGTTCTCATCAAGTATGCTTCACAGTCACACCATGGGATAGCATGGTGTTATTTATGTGAGTACTTGCGCATCGCATGTGATGCGAGGCGTGGTTAAGCTTCCCAAGATCGCCGGGACGACTCCAATCGGCGCCTCTCCGGTTCCTGATCCTTGTTCCCTCGCGACTACGACTATGATTGCCATGTGCTTTCAGGATACAGGATAATAACCACAACAGTCACTTGGTGCATGGTGTTTATGTTTTCGGCTTCAAAAAATAAAGAAAATTTGCGTATACAATGCTATCAATCAACTAGATAGTAGCAACACCATATCCTTTTCCACCGCGCCGACGCCTCGGCTTTTGAAATTGAGAGTAATCCCGCGGGATTCTGGGCGTATTTTCCCCCGTATCCAGGTGCCCCCCAGAAGAAGCGAACTTTGCTACAACGTATTCGTATGGGCCCGGATGCCAAGGATTCCGATAGCGGTGGCATTCCACGTCCATCGGATTGCTTGTCCTCGTGAATTTGGCAAATGTTCCTCTACTTGGCGCTGACCTGGTCACCCATGCGGTTGTACTCGGCCTGCATGTTCTCGACCTGCTTCTTCAGGTTCTCCATGTCGCGGTCCTTGCGGGCAAGCTCCTCCTTGAGAGCGCCGACCTCACCAGCGCCGCCAACGTCCTTGAGCGACTTTCCGCCCTTCGCCTTGGGGTCGCCCTTGAACGTCTTGACCTCCTCCTCGAGACGGAGGACATCGAGGATCATGACGTAGGTGCGGTTCAGGATGAGAGACAGGAAGAGGGTGAAACCACAGAGGTACATGTTGCGCTGCGAGTAGAACTTGCGGGCCTGGACCTCCATGCGCTCGATACCGCCGAGGCTGGCGTTTCTAGACGTGGTTAGCTGGTGTTTGTGAACAAGGAGCGATGCGGCTCACCCTCCGCCCTGCTGGTTGCCCATGCCAGAGAGCTCAACCTGCACGCGGTACACGCGGTTGACGCTGTCCACGAACAGGATCAGGATGAAGATGAACGTGATCTTCATGCCATACTGCAGTTTGGCCACGATGGGGCTCTCCGAGATGAAGGTGAAGAGCTTGCGGCGCCAGGTGAACGGCAGCGGGACGATGAGGGCAAGGAAGATGAGCATCTCCGTCACCAAGAGGAGGAAGACCTGCAAGCAGAATAATAGTAAGCATGGGTGCCACATTAGGGGGCCGATACACTCGCTGCAGGAGAGGGAGGCACGCGAGCAGCCCATGGACCGCAAAGCCAATGGGCTTCTTGTGGATAGCCACTGCCTCCAAGTACCGCATCGAGCGGGGTGCACTTACCAGACTGTAGTAGAGCGTCATGTTGGCTATGCTGTCGTGGCCTTACGGTACGGCTGATGTTTGTTGTGCAAGTGGGGTCGTGTGTGAAAACAGCAGACTGTCCAGGCGGGTTGAGGGGGAAAGGGGTTGGCTGTGTCGATGAGAGAGTAGAGGATCGGGAGAGAGGTGCGAGGTGCGAGGTGCGAGGACGAGTATTGCAAGACAGTGCAGGAAGTGGGCACAGCGACGCGACCTGGATGGCAGAAGCCACAGCTAGCCTGCCGCTGCGAACAAATACGTCACCCATTCGCTTGTGGCCCGTGTGGTCCCATCGCGCGCCTAGCCCATCCTGGCTAGCCCCGTACTAAGATTCACAAATTCAGATGCATGCTTGAGAGCCGCTCCAGAGCCGCTCCAGAGCCAAGTCGACCGCTGGACGAACCATCACCTTGCACGATTGTCCTTGCTGCAAAAAGTGAAAATGGCAGGTGAAGGTGATCAGGTTGCTAGCGACGCGCCCGTGCCCAGCGCTGTCGCCGACAGCAATGGCGTCGAAAGTGGCAACCGTCCATCTAGCAGCAACCCTGAACCTTCTAGTGACAAAAAGCGCGTGCGGACGGGCAGTCAAGACATCGACATGGCCGACGCTCCCGTGAAGCGCCAGAAAGGCGTTGCGCCAATCAAGGCCGAGTGCGTGGCATTACCAAACATGTACGGCCCCCACTAATTCCCCCAGATTCATCATCCACCGGAGCGACAATAAAGCTGAGGTCAAGACTGCGCCTATCGACGACGATGCAGCAGAAGCCGCAGATGCCCGCCACAAAGCAGGTGATTCTCGCGACAACCGTGCTGGTGCCAAGGGCAAGAACAACAAAAAAGACAAGAAACAAAAAGGCCAGAACACAAGCCGTACCTTTGGGAGTTCACACGACAAGTTGCCACTATGCGGTACCCGCGCCCTCTCCAATGAGTTCTCCGCTCCGGAATGCAGATTCGGCGACAAGTGCAAGTTTGAGCATGATTTGCGCAAGTACCTGAAGGAAGGTCGCAGAGAAGATCTGACGACTTTCGACGGCCAGTGTCCCATCTACGAGGTCAGGGGATACTGCCATCTTGGCTGGAAGTGCCGTTTTGTTGGCAGCCATTCCGAAGAGCGCGCCACTGAACATGGCAGGCAAGAGCTAGTGCTCCGCGAAGATGCCGAGCGCAAGGCAAAATTTGCAGGCCTCGAGGATGACGAAGTTGAAGTGGTCAATATCCTGCCCAAAGAAGTCCGGTTTGGTCTCTCAAGGCGCAAGATTGGAACTCCGAGATCAGACCAATATCTGGAATGGATCAACTCGAACAAGGACCAAGAGCGCGAGCTCTTCGACAACAATCAGGGTGACACCGAAGCGCTGAAAGAGGAGAGAGATGCGCGACGAGCCGAGTACGTTGAGGCACCTTTCAGGCCCTCCGAAAAGCGACGACTCTACTACGGACCTGAGACACCTGTACTAGCACCTTTAACCACCCAAGGTAACATGCCCTACCGCCGTCTGTGCGTAGATCTCGGCTGCCAGGTTACCTGGAGTGAGATGGCCATGGGTATGCCTCTGATTCAGGGTGAGAGGGGCGAGTGGGCACTCATGAAAGCCCATGAATCCGAAATTGCTGCCCCGAGGTTCCAGAGCAAAGGCACAGTCGTTCAAGGCTACGACAATGCGGCGGACATCAGATTTGGTGCGCAAATTGCTGCGAACAAGCCTTGGCTGGCGAACAAGACAGTCGAAGTCCTGACAGACAACTGCCCAAAGCTGCGCGCTATCGACTTGAACTGTGGTTGTCCGATCAATCTGGTTTGCGAAAAGGGCAGTGGTTCTGCGCTTCTCGATAGCGAGGCAAAGCTCGAAAACATCCTTCGTGGTATGAACTATGTTTCAAAGGAGGTTCCTATCACCGTCAAGGTCCGCATGGGTACCAAGGACAATCATCCAACCGCACAGAAACTCATCAAGAGACTCGTCCTTGGAGGTTACGAGGCCCTTGCGTCTGACAAGGGCACAAGCGGTGTTGCGGCCATAACACTCCACGGAAGGAGCAAGCAGCAACGCTATTCGAAGAGTGCAGACTGGTCATATATCGCCGAATGCGCATCGCTCATCAACAGGTTGAAGAAAGAGAAGGATGCCCAGACAGATACTGCAGCTGAAGCCGATCCCCGTGATCAGGCCAATGGCGGACACGTTTATTTTGTCGGCAACGGCGACTGCTACTCACACGAGGATTACTACAATCACATGAACAACGCCAATGTCGACTCGGTCATGATTGGTCGTGGCGCACTGATTAAGCCGTGGATCTTTGAAGAAATTGAGAAGGGTCAATATCTCGACAAATCTGCCACTGAGCGGCTCGCATATATCGAAAAATTCGCCAAGTACGGGCTGCAGACTTGGGGTTCTGACGAGCTCGGTATCGGCACGACGCGTCGCTTCTTGCTCGAGTGGCTCAGCTTTGCGCATCGATACGTCCCTGTTGGACTGCTTGAGCACCTACCACCCAACATTCAGGATCGTCCACCGAGGTTCAGAGGTAGGAATGATCTCGAAACATTAATGGCTAGTGAGCATTACTTGGACTGGATCAAGTTGAGGTAAATAACAAACTGTAACTCTGGTTGAAACCTTCGCTAATCCTACGACAGCGAGATGTTTCTCGGAAAAGCCCCGCCTACCTTTAAATTTGAACCCAAGCACAAGTCCAACGCCTACGAGATCGAGGCTGAGGGATGAGGAGTTTGGTAGCGCGCCACATATCGTGAACCATAGTTAGAAGTGGGGAATCCAAACCAGTGTGATCCGCACTGATGCTGTGGACTATATAAACTCAAAATTCCCTTTTTTCCCTCCATCCCTTCTGTTGCATCTGAGATATAGCAGACATCACACACACATATTCTCACACACATCTCACCTGACTTCTCACGTCGAAGACATTCACATCATCACTCATATCTTCACACTACCATCACATCACACCCACTTCTCTTACATTTGTGTATGCTCGTCTTCGAGTCTCACTCCCACACACATCATGTGCTCCGAAATCCCAGACCCGCAAGCAAGCCAAAAGGCCTTCTTGCGCAGCGGCCTGATGTCCACATGCCCAACCACCATCACATCCAATGACTCCTGCAGCATCTGCCTCGAGTCCTGCACCACCCACTTCCCCAGCGACTGCCCGACCAAAGAAGGAGGCATGCCAGCAACGATCACCATCCGCGAATGTGGGCACATTTTCCATCCAGACTGCCTCTTCAATTGGCTGGCAGACCATTCAACATGCCCCATGTGCAGACGCAAGTTGTACAAGCGCATGGTGTGGGTTTGGAGACTGATGGTGTTTCTTCCAGACGTAGAAGGCGAGGAGATAGGGCGCTCGATCATGTGCACTGAAGCAGCCTGGAACTACGAGATGAGTTTGTGTGGGCCGGGGCCGCAGAGGGACACGCTCATGGGGGCGGAGTGGTGGCGGTATTGCACCGAGGTCATGGATGGAGAGAGCGTAGTCCGACAGTAGCTTTGTGTTGTTTTCTCGACTGGGCTGTTGGTGTGAGTCGTCGCTGTGTTGTCTTTGTTGGGCATTCTTATTTTATTTATAGTGTTGCCTGGCATATGCGTGCTATTGTCCTTATCGCGTACTGGAGCTACTAGATGAGTATGCCACCACAGACTATACCATGATACTACACAACGCGTTCACATACTTTGACTGTATGAAGTAATCTAGGTAGTGCTGTCATGAGCGTCACTGCTGATGCTATGAAGCGAATATAGATAACAGCATAAAGCTGATTGAGCGATTGAATAACTAACCGAGACGTCCGCGAGCGATCAACTTTCAAACTTGATTGGATCTCACGCCATCCTAGAAATACTCAAAACGCCAGATATGCAAAGTTGGTTTGCCAAGGAATATGAACGTAGAACAAGACCAAGTGCATCAAAATATGATGCAGACTAGGGAAAATCAATGCTTCCATCGCACGTCCGTCCTCTCCACAAATACATGCCCTCCGTCTCTACTCAGACGGTCGTTGGGGTATCCTATCCGCTGAAACACATATGCGTCTTCGCTCGCAGGCCAAATCGTTTTCGCAAACGGCCTCAACATCACCAACCTAATCGGTGGATGAAGCTAGTCACGCCGAGGTCGTTTGTTCGGGAGTCAGCTAGAGTGACTTCTCAGTAATAACTGCATCATATCGTCAGCTAGAGTCCACGTTGTCACCGAATTAAACAATAGTGACGGCACTCAAACTCACAATCGAGCAGCATCATCACAAAATGTAAGACAACGAACGTACCCTCTCAACGTTTTCATCCGTCTGATCTGCAGCTAACAAGCTTGGGCTCTGAGTGGCCTGACCTCTCTCTGTGAAGCCACGAGTGTCCATTTGTGGTCGCTTCTTGGGCGTTTGTGCCGGGCTGTCCGCCGGTAGATTGATATCGGGCATAGTGGGAGCGTGCTTTTCATGATCATAGAGATGGCCACCCAAGGTTGCGCAGCGCAGGAATGGTTTGAATGAGTTGATTCTGGCGGAGGGGTTTGGACAGGTAGTCCTGTTGCTTATATCAGCGTTCAGTCATGGAAAAGCAGTGCAGTATACTTACGTCCATCTGGGCCGCGAGACACTTTTCACGATCGCCAACCATAGCGTGCGCTGTAAGAGCAATCACAGGCGTCGACGGGATACCGTTCTCACGCTCCCATTCTCGGATTTTGGCCGTCGCTTCGAAACCGCCCTGGATCTTGTTAGTGTTACGATGTCAGTGACCCATAGTTCGACTTACCATGACAGGCATTTGTACGTCCATGAGTACGCAATCGAAGCGTTTCTTCTGAATGTGTTGGACGGCCTCGAGACCGTTGTTTGCTACAGTGACTCTGTGATGATACTTCTCCAAGATTCTGACAGCTAGCTTCTGGTTGACAGCATTGTCCTCTGCAAGGAGAATCTGGAAGGATTTCGAGTGATCAGAGACTAGAGGCGCAGCCCGACCATCAAGAGCTGGGATAAGCGCATTGCCCAAGTCGATCGGCAAGCAGGGCGTGGTCATGTAACTTGAAATGCCGTTCTCAAGCGCCGACCTGAGGCTGATAGACACTCGAGGCGTAAGCATGACAAGCGGGATGTATTTGAAACGCTCAGCAATCCTGAGCTCTCGGGCGGTTTTGTCGTTGTCAACAATGACACAGTCGAACGGCATGTCCGCCCGCTTCTCGGATCCAGGAACCTGGTCCACGGTATTGACAACCATTGGCACAAGATCTAGCTGTTTAAGGTGCTCGGAGATCTCTTCCGAGAAATTGGTCTGGTCCTGATCAACGAAGAGCACAGTGTGCCCTCTGTAAGCCGCGAGCTGAGGCCTGATGGCGCTAAGATCCTCTTTACCAAGACGGACTCGGCAAGTAAAGTAGAAGACACTGCCTTTGCCAAAGTCGGATTCAACCCACATACGGCCACCCATGAGTGTCACAAGACGCTTCGAGATAGACAGACCAAGACCCGTGCCGCCAAATTTCCTGGTTGTAGAGCCATCGGCCTGTTGGAAAGTATCGAAGATGAGGTTGAGCTTATCGCCACGAATACCTATACCCGTGTCGGACACAGCGAACTGGAAGACATATTGGTCTGCACCGCAGTCCTGATCCTGTGCCATCGAGATAGCAACCTTAACCTCGCCGTGTTCGGTGAACTTGATCGCATTGCCTACGAGGTTCAGAATAATCTGTCTCAATCGGAAGGAGTCGCCAATAACGTAGTCCGGCACCTTGTATGAAACGTCGTAGGCAAGGTTTAGTTTCCTCTCGTTGGCTCTTGATGCTAATGATTTCAGAGCGTTGAAAATTGTGCCGCGCATTGAGAATGGAATCTCTTCCATGACCATGCGGTTTGCCTCGATCTTGGAAATGTCGAGAATGTCGTCGATGATGGTAAGTAATTGACCTGCCAGGTTGTGTACAATGGTCAGCATCTCGCGTTGCGCATGCGTGAGGTCGGTGTCTAGGGTGAGCTGCGTCATCCCGATAATGCCGTTCATAGGCGTCCGGATCTCGTGGGACATGTTTGCCAGGAACTCGGATTTGGTCTTGTTCGCCAACTCTGCTGCTTCCCTGGCAGCCGTATTCCTCTGGATACTCTCTCGCAAACTTGACACCATCTGATTAATCTTCCTCTTCAGCTCGTCCATCTCGCCAGAGGCCTCGACGGTGATCTGTGTGAATTTGCCCTCCATAGCAGCATTTGTGATGTCTCCAAATGCACGCACTTGTGATGTCAAGTTCTGTGCCATGGTATTGACGTCGGTAGTAATTTCCTTCCAGCGTCCGTCAATGTCGCGCACATCTGCCTGACCACCCATCTTGCCGTCGACGCCGACATCTCGCGCGACTCGCTTCACAGCGAGGGACCAATCATCCAGTCTCATGACCATGTCGTTGATTGTGTCTTTGAGCAATCGGATTTCTCCTTCGGCATCCACGTGTACTCTTCGGCTCATGTCTCCTTTAGCAATAGCTTGTGTAACCTCGGATATACTTCGCACTTGGAGTGTGAGGTTTTCTGCCATGGTGTTGACATTGTTGGTCAGATCTTTCCACTTGCCCTCCACGTTGTCGACCTGCGCTTGACCACCGAGGATACCGTCTGTTCCGACTTCTCGCGCGACCTTGCTAACTTCTTGGGCGAAAGTGTTCAGGCGGTCCACCATGGTGTTGATGGTGATCTTCAAAGACAGAATCTCACCTTGTACTTCTGCCTTGACCTTTCGGCTGAGATCACCTCGAGCAACAGCTGTCGTGACCTCTGCAATCTCTCGTACTTGAGTTGTTAGGTTCATGGCCATGCCGTTCACATTTTCAGTGAGATCCTTCCAAGTCCCCTCGACTCCGTGAACTGTAGCCTGTCCACCAAGTCGTCCTTCGGAGCCGACCTCTCGGGCAATCTTGGTGACTTCGTGGGCAAACTGCTGCAGTTGGTCCACCATGCGATTGATGGTCAATTTGAGCTCCAGAATCTCGCCCTTGCACTCGGCCTCGACTTTGCGCGTGAGGTTTCCTTGTGCCACAGCTGTCGTGACCTGCGCAATATCTCGTACTTGGGTGGTGAGGTTCTGAGCCATAGCGTTCACATTTACAGTCAGTTCATTCCACATGCCCTTGACACCGGCTATCTCAGCCTGGCCACCGAGCTTGCCTTCGGTTCCGACATCTCTGGCTACTTTTGTGACCTGTGTTGCGAATGACTGCAATTGGTCCACCATGGTATTTATCGTTTGCTGCAGCTGCAAGATTTCTCCTCTAGCCGGGCGCTCAATCTTGCGGCTCAGGTCACCATGAGCTACTGCTGTGGTGACGACAGCGATCTCTCGCACCTGTTCCGTGAGATTCTTTGCCATAACGTTGACTGCGGATCGTGTTAGAAAAACACGGGCCGAATGTGTGAACCTTAAAAATACGTACCACTATCTGTCAGCTCGGCCCAAATGCCTGCAACTCCAGGTAGATTTGCCTGGCCACCGAGTCTGCCCTCGGTGCCGACCTCCCTGGCCAAAAATGTGACTTGACTGGCGAATTCCTGCAACTGGTCCACCATGGTGTTGATAGTGCGCTTGAACAAAGTGATTTCAGGGTCCATCTCCTTGGCGTGGATCAGGACTTTTTTACTTAGGTCGCCCATAGCGACGGCGGTTACAATGGCACCAATCTCGCGCAGGGCCTTTTGGAAAGCCAAGTTGGCCTGCTGGTGCTTGCCGAGCTCTCTCTTGAGAGCACCGATATCTTCGATGCCGTGTTCGAAGGCCATGTTCTGGTGGTTCAGCTGCTTGTTCACTTCGGCAGAGAGGTTGTCGATGTGTTCGCGCTGGTTACGGATCTGGTCTGCCTGTTGGTTCAGGTGGTCGCGGAGATAGGAGAGCTGCTGCTCGGTAAGGGCAGCGGCGGGGGCATCGTCGCCATTCGACTCTTTTGCGGCGAGCCAGTTGCTCACCCACAGGGCGCGGTCCTTGTTCGAGCCGCGGCGGCCATGGCCTGGGGGGCCCGCATTGCTGCGGAGAGCGCCCGCGGGGGTATAGACGAGGCCCTCTTCGGTGGGCTCACCCGCGGGCGTCATGGGGAAGGTGTTCTGGTTGACGGCGACGCTGCTCTTGTGCTCTAGCAGCTCGACGCGTGCGGCAAGGGCGGCCAGCTCCTGCTCGAGCGCCGCCTTCTCGGCGCATGGTGGGCCAGGCAGGGCAATGGGCGCCGCCTTTGCGCCATTTGCAGCTATCTGGGCGCCGAACGAGGGGTCGTGGGCGGGATTCCGTGGTGGCCGGGCGAGATTCTTGATGAAGTCTGCAAGCCCGTAGCATAGGTTTCGGCCGTCATGGCGACGGCGAGGGTGTCTGGAGTCGGCGGCGTGCTAGATGCGCATTGGGGACGGGAAGAGACAGGCGCGTACAGCCTCGTGGGGCAAGCCAGCGGGCGAGGATGCGAGAGGGGAGGTGTGATGGGTGCTGTGTAGGGAGAAATGCGGTGATGAGCTGGATGCAAGTGCAGGTGGGCTAGCAGGATGTATGTATGTACTGGATGTAGGTAGACCGGCCGGGTCCTGGTTGTGAAGGGACCCCAGCGAGCAAAAGCGTATTGGTGTTGGCGGCTTCACGCCAGACGGGGACACAAGGCGAGATGCGCGCAGCACGAGTTCCCCGGTGCAGATGTCGAGGCCACGAGAAGTGCGGTGCGAGGAGGAGCGATGCAGCGTGAAGCGTGAAGCGTGAAGCGTGAAGCGTGAGCGCAGCCCACCACTGACCACTGACCACTGACGACCGATGCAGCCTGCGCGACCTGGATACGAAAAAGATCGGCACTCGACCTCTCCCAAAGCACCCCAAGCACACAAAGACAGAGTTGCCCTCGACGGCCTGTCAGTTGCGGAGCTAGCCCGGTAGCGAGCCCTCGTCGTCTCCACCCTCTTGTCTCTCGCGCGGCGCTCCACGACTCTCGTGGCACAATGCCATGGCACTGAGGGCAGGCCCTCCTCGCCCGAACAACACGATGGCATTGTCCCACCCCCTTGAGCCCTCTCTCGGCGCCGAATTCACGTCATAGGGCCTCTGCGCAGATTCCCCAGCGGAGCCTAAGATGAGGTGTCACCTCTGGCACGCCGGCATCACCTTGCGCTGCGCTGCGCTGCGCTGCGCTGCCACTCTACCCAGCCAAGGTGGGCATGCCGTGAGGCGTGACCGTTTTAGCCCTCCACGGCACCAGCAAATCACCTCGCCGCCGACCTGCCCGATCAGCGAATAGGGGCTTTGCCACTGGACGAGTGGAGAGCAGTGGAGAGGAGGTACCGCCGCTCACTCTTCCAGGGTCCCGTTCCTTTCGGTAATGATGCGCCCATTTGCCAACTTAGCACGCTGTTCTTCGGGCGCACTCTGAATCTCCACATGCAGCTGCCCGCGAAGATCTCAATTGATGCAACGTGCATGGTGAATTCTCCTGTTTGATCGCCCTCATGTGCTCGTAAGTGTTTCATGATTATGCATTCTTCCAGAGATCCCCACCGCCTCATCTTCAACGGCAAACTCCACACGCGGGTGGGGTGCCCATCGTATACAGCACCATCTAGCATACTCCTACTCCTAGTGAACTTGCTCTATTCGGCGCGACACGAGCGCGTGGCTAACTTAAGTTTCAGGGTCTCCCGTGAATCTCCCTAGTCATGGGCACCTAGCGCTCTTTAAGCGTCGCTGGCGGCACCGCTGTTCCAAGCGAACATGGACCTGCTTAGTGCCTACCTAGGTACAAATGGACAAACACGCTCCAGGATCACGTGCTGCAACTTGCGAGACCTCGCATGCATGTGCATGTTGGGACATGATGCAGCCGACGACCAGAATCAATGGCATATGGCAAATGGAGAAGGGGCCATGTTGAATTGTGATATCGACCACCATTTTACCTCAGCTTCTTCGCGTGCGCTACCAAGCTCTCGATTACCTGCTCAAACGCATCCTTGTCTCCCAGCGCACTCTCCATGCGTTTCTGCCAATACTCAAACACCTCATTGGCTCGGACTTCCAAGTCTTTCAGCCGCTGGACATGCCCCTCCAACTCGTCCTTGGTAAAGTTCTGGAGCGCTGCGTCTGTTGTGGAGCATAGCATCGTGGTACTGCTTATGTCCAATTCTGGTGGCGGTGGTGGGCCCTTCCTCTTCCTGTCAGGTTTCGAGGCAGACGAGTCGACAGATGTCGACGACGCATTCTCTCCTTCGCGCTTCACACGTCCAAGAGCTCCACTGCGACCATCTGACGAAGGACGAGGTGACCTCTCGCCAGGAATGTGGATCGAGGGCAGAATGAGCTTCTTCTGTTTGGAAGCGGGAAGGATCTCATCAAGGTCGACTGGGACACCGAGGGAGACGAGGAATAGTCGCCGTATACGTGAGCGAACCCAATCGGGTGGTTGTAGTGGCGGTGGCGCCACGAGCTGTGTCCACAACGACTTACTTCGTTCCGTCAGGAATATCGACCGTGCATCCCCGGCTGCAAATACGCTGGATATTTCTTGTAATGATGGGTAGATCTCGTTAATGTAGGGGTCGGTCGCAGAGATGATGTCTCCAAGAGAGGCGAGGTCATCGAAACTAAGAACGGGCTATCCAGGGAGAAGTCAGTCACGCATCACTGGATGGGCATTGCGAGAGGCAAACGTGGGCTTGGGCTGTATTGATTTGACTTACAGGACCTAAAGAGGGCGTAGATACAGGAGGTTGATCTGGGGGCTTATCAAAGGAAGTCTCTGCTTGATCCTCGCCTTGTTGAAACCCATCATCAAAGTCCCCGAAATCATCGTCGGCCTTCCTCGCCCTCCTCAAACTCATCAAATTCACCAAAGCCATCATCATCGTCCGCGAAATCGTTTGCAGCATCGTCTTGTTGTTCCAGGGAGTCGTCAGGGTCAGACATGGGCTCGTCGGACTTTACGGGAGACCTATTCGAGGCAGTTGGCGACCCTTCATCCGTCAATGGTACGCAGGGAGGCACCAAGGAAATGCCCTACGTACCTTGGGACTTGCGCGGTGGCTCCGGTGCCTTGACGATGATGTCGGGCGCAGCATCTGCAAGACGCAGCTGATGGGCATGTGTGCCGGGGACGTCACCATAGCTGGGCTGATCAGGGTCAATCTTCTCGACGATAGTCTTTGGGACGGCAGTTCCTCCCGGCGTGAGCGGCCTGTCACTGACGCTGACGCGAGAAGTGCTGCGGCTCCGCGAGCCCTCTGGTACGATTTCGACCTCATCGGGCACGGCGTCCTGAGTTCGCTTCTTGTATGCATCTGTTCCGGGCACCTCGCCGTGGGCTGGTGCATCATCTACGCGCTCCACCCTGGTGATGGGGATGGGAGAGGTCGCTTCGTTCCTGCTGGCATGGCCTTCTGAGGCATCGGAGAAGTGCTCGTCGCTGGATGCTTCCTCTGCACACATTTAGCCATGGATCAATCGTGGTAGATGAATAACGTACCCAGTTCCTTCGCCCCCGGGTCCTCGAGCTCAACGCTCTTGCGGGGCGGTGCCAGTTCATCGACCATGTTGTAGTTGGTACTGCAGCCTTCTTGTCTCACGTACAGATAGTCGTTTGGCTGGTAGAGTTGCGAAGAGGGTTGCAGAGGCGATGTCTGCCACGAGCTTTACCAGGACAAGAACAATCTCGTGCAGCATGCTACTCGTTGGCGTTGTCGTCGGATCTCTAGGCAGCGGGGCGGCGGTCTGGCCCCGGGGAAGCACCGGGAACAACGATTCCCCGACAGCTACTGCCAGATCCTTGTCGCAGCTGTTTGCCCAACTTTTGGCAGCTGCACCCGCGACCTAGACGCGCCGTGAAAGACGTGACTTCGTTTGTTATCCCCGCCAAGGCCTACTCGGTTTTCTTTCGTGCCCAGGTGCCCGCGTTACAATTGTCCTCCGCGCTCGCGCCTCAACCAGTTGCGCAGCCTTTTCTGCGCCCAGCTCACGTAAACACCTTCCGCGACCAACGTCCACAACACTGTCCAGCGCCATCGATCTACACACAACCACCCAACATGTCGTTTCAGTTCGGGCAGCAGAGCAGCAGCAACACGCCAAACAAGCCATTGTTTGGCGCTGCTAGCAACACGTCGGGTGGAACTGCTCCGTCTCTCTTTGGAACCGCCAACACTGGGAGCACTGGCACAAGCACCCCCGCCGGCTCAGGTCTATTTGGTGGAGGTGCGACTACCGGCACATCGAGCATCTTCGGCGGCGGCGCTTCGAACACACCTGCAAGCAAGCCGGGCGGGCTGTTTGGTGGCGGCGGAGCTACATCAGGCGCGTCAACATCGAGCCTGTTTGGCAGTAGCCTCAGCAAGCCTGCTGGCGATGCGGCGAAGCCGGCGTCGGTCTTTGGTAGTGGATTCGGAGCTCCTGCGAGCGGTGCAACATCTTCATCGACGGCGCCTTCCTTTGGTTTTGGCACTGCAACCTGTATGTGTCTCGAATGAACATTCCTCGCGTATACGGCTAACAAAGAGCAACAGCGTCCACACCCGCAGCCACACCTGCAACGAACAAGTTCCTCCCGTCGACGACGCCTGCCGGCGCTCCCCCAGGTCCCAGTCTGTTCGGCGCGCAGAACACACAAGCAGCCGGAAACACTCAAACCAGCTCGTCGCTGTTCGGCGCACAAAAGCCCCAGGCGGGCGGAGGTACACAGGCTGGATCAGGGCTGTTTGGCGGACAGAATCAATCCAGCGGCTCGAACCAGCCAAGCCCGTCTCTGTTCGGCGGAAATCCAGCCACGACATCTGCCTCGCCTGCTCCCGGACTCTTTGGTGGTGCAGCTGCAGGCAAGCCTTTGGGAAACTCTACGCCCACTTCCGGCCTATTTGGTGGGAACAAAGACACTTCGGCCGGTGCAGACAAAGGCGCAACCCCGGCGTCTTCAGCACCCTCAGGTCTCTTTGGAGGTGGAGGCGGAGCGACAGCTGGTGCACAAGGCCAGGGAGCTGCCAAACCATCGCTGTTTACACCTCAAACCACCTCGTCAACACCAGCCAGCAAACCCCCCACCTTCAGCCTCGGTACAAACTCAGCGGCTCCAACATCTTCACAGCCTCCATCGAGTCTGGGCGGCTTCAGCTTGGGCGGAAAAACAGACGCGCCAAAGTCATCTGCTGCTCCAGCCTCCAGTATGTTTGCCAGTATAGGCACCCCAACCTCTTCAGCTCCTGGTGCTACGCCGCCAACAAGTGGAGCTACTACCACAGCAGGAAGCTCTGGCATAACCACAGCAGCCACTCCAGCTCCCTCGCTGTTCGCAGGAGTTGGTAGCGGAAGCTCGGCGCCTCCCACATCTGGTCTCGGCGCACCTACAAGCGGTGGATCAGGTGGACTATTTGGAGGAAAAACTGCAACATCCACTACACAACCGTCGACATCGACCAGCCAGCCGGCAGCCACCCTTGGAAGTGCGGCCAACGATGCGACGAAGACTGGCGGGCTTGCCAACTCCACCGCTGGGCCCCCACCATCTGCGCAGTCTCGTCTGAAGAACAAGAGCATGGACGAGATTATTACGCGATGGGCAGCTGATCTATCAAAGTATCAGAAAGAATTCCAGACCCAAGCTGAGACAGTCGCAAAGTGGGACCGAGCATTGGTCGAAAATTCCGATAAGGTCCGCCAGTTGTATTCCAAGACCTTCCAGGCAGAGCGAGATGCTGCTGAGGTTGAGCGACAGTTGACGATGATGGAGGAGAACCAGCAGGAACTTGACTCGTATCTTGATCGCTACGAGAAGGAGATTGAGAACCTGATGAAAATGCATGGTGTCAGCGGAAAGTCTGATGGTCTGAGGGGTCCTGATCAAGAGCGAGAGAGAACGTATGCTTTTCCCACAATACTAATACTTCTGGCTCTAGCTGACATAATGGCAGATACAAACTTGCCGAGAAACTCTCGGACAGGCTCAACGAGCTCAACAAGGACCTGACAGAGATGATCGAGGAGATCAACAGCACTTCACAGACACTCAGCAAGACTGGCAAGCCAGATGATCCGGTACGTGTTCTTCTCTGCACTGCAATCAACGTAATCTAATCAAGTGCTAGTTGACCAAGGTCGTTCGCGTCCTCAACACTCAGCTTTCGCAGCTCCAACTCATCGATGCCGGCACCGCTCAGCTCAAGGAAAAGATTAATCAGACACAGAAGGAAACTCAGCGCGTCGGTGCGAATGGCTGGAACGGACTTGGTTCGGACCCGTCAGATGACTTCATGCGGAGCTTCCGTGGTGGACGAACTGAGCGGTTCGGCGGTGTATCATAGGGCCATGGTTGGAACTGAGCAACATCGCTTGCCGTCTATCACAGCCTGTCTGTGGTACAGGTTATATCAAGGGTTCTTGTAATATATGAGTCACACGCATCATCCGGGTTCATTGGATTTTTTGAAACACACAATATTACCATCTCGTTTACACTGTATTTAATCCTCTTTGGTGTATGTGATCATCCGTAATGCTGGTAGAGGCTTCGCGGACGAGACGGCTATGTAACATTCGTGCATTGTATTCTAGCGAAGAATTGTAAGTATGAACATCATTGTAGGCATAAACATGAGGCACGTTTTGACACTTTAATGTTCGTCGAAGCTGGGACTACATGGTAACATTGGTGGGTGATCAGGGTTTGTTTTACTTCATGGCTAAACAAGGACCGCGAGGCCAGCCTCTCGTTGTCTTTCCTCCGCACGTACTGGGAAAGAAGCTTACTTCTGTTCGCCCTGGCCGGACGCTTCGCCTTCCTTGATCACATCGTCGCTATGAGACTGTCAGATTGTGTCCATGATAGTATGTGTTCGGGGTGATTGGAGGGATGGGTGTGATGTGGCGGTCATGGTATAGGTAGCTGCGTGGTGAAGTGGGTACTGACATGTGCTTGTCAAGGTCCTCAATGTGCTGCCTCTGCTGGCGGAGCTTCTCCTTGATAGCTAGGAGCCTGTGTACTGGTTAGCCCAGTCTTCATCTCCGTGAAGCTTCTCAAAGCTCTGTATGTGGCGTGAACGTACTTGGCCTTTTCTTCCTGGCGAATGTAAAGCTCCTCAGAAGCGGCCTCGCGCTTGGTGAAGGCATCACTGAGGATTCAGTCAGCTTGCTTCAGGTTTTACAGTTCCATTTCGAAGCACTCACCCTCCAGCGGAACCAGTAGGCCTCGACGCGCCAGAGCCGGTTGCACCTTCAGCCATGCGGCGTGCAGCTACAGAGAAGTAGCGGGGTGCAGCGACAAAGCGGACGCTCTTGATGATTGATGTGCGGAGCATGATGTCTGTTTGGGTGAGGAATTGGGGATTTGCGGGTTTCAAATGGCTTATACAGATTGCCGTGAGGTGGAGTGATGAGCTTAACGAAGAGCTCGCCGAGCGCCCGGGCCTGCGTCATCGGTCATGTGATGCTGGCTCCCAGCCCATGATGCACACTTTTCTAGACATTGGACCATGCAGCTCAGAACTTGTTGAAATAGAAACACATATGTAAACGATTGATTCAAAAGTGGCGTCTCATGTGGCTGTGGACAGGATTCGCCAGACTTGTGGTACATGACATGGTACATGGAAGCACTTCAGAAAGTGGTGCTCTCTTGCAGTCAGCGACGACGGAGCCATGCGCATACAGTACAGCTGCAAGCAGCTCACATGCACCTGCAAACATTCTGATACAACAGTTCCTACATGCAAAACTTTCCCGATGGTCGGCATGGGTTGAACCGCTGTCAGTTGCTGTGCTTGATGTCGGAGTGCCTTGGTCGCCGCGTGTAACTGTCATTGAAGGGTTACTGCGGGGCTCAACCACAGCACGGCACCATGATCGACGGGCAGCGCGGTGGCATATTGTGCAGACAAAATTGGGCGCTACATGTACCTATGGCGGTGACGGGCGGGAGCGGATTTTGTGCAAGTGGGAGAGACTCGTCGCGCCTGTTCTGGGCTGTGAAACGATCCAAGGACGGGCAGGCGTGATCGACGGCAGCGCTTGCCAAGGAATCGGGTTCTCCTTCGACGACCAGTCCCCTCCATCTTCCCTTGATAAACAGTCCTCTGCCAAAAAGCCCTCAACTTCACTTTCCCACTCCGCACGCTCAACCACCCGTATCCCGCACCACCAATCTGTTTCTACCCAACCACATCTTCTCTCGTAAGTACTCTGTTGCCGTGCGTCATGTCTCCCAACGCCGCAGACCGGCCGCCAATTTGCGCACTCTGCACCCTCTCCCAACCAGCGCTGCCCAGCGGTATGAGCGCACTCTGCGCGCCTGTGGCACTCGCATCGACCGATTCCGCCACAAGCCTGCTGTCAGCGTTGGCCTGGTAGTGTGGTGGGTGCTGGTCCTCTGGCCCGCACAAGCCACCCCTCGTTGCGCCATTCGCTGTCAGGCTCGCAGCGGCCGTGGAGACGAGAGCGGCCGTTGCAGTCTCCAGACCGCCTTGCACATGCGTCCTCAATGCGGTCCGAGGGCTCCCTTGCTTCAAGTCGCGTTTGCCCGCCCGTCGCAGCAGAGCGCACATTGAGGGGCTGACTGGCCCAACCATTGCGACGTGCCATCACCAAACCTCTTTTTGCGCGCACCCATCGACTTTGGAACTTGCTGACAATCGCGTTCATAGACCACACACCAAAATGGGTTACGAAGACTCCGTGTACCTGGCCAAGCTGGCTGAGCAGGCCGAGCGCTATGAGGGTAAGCCCGTTTCCGACGAGCTGCGACATGACGAGACTGACCGAGCATTGCAGAGATGGTCGAGAACATGAAGGCCGTTGCCTCTGCAGACCAGGAGCTTTCCGTTGAGGAGCGAAATCTCCTTTCCGTCGCCTACAAGAACGTCATTGGTGCTCGCCGCGCTTCGTGGAGAATCGTCACCTCAATCGAGCAGAAAGAGGAGTCCAAGGGCAACGAGACCCAGGTTGGCCTCATCAAAGAGTACCGCCAGAAGATCGAGGCCGAGTTGGCCAAGATCTGCGAGGACATTCTTGAGTGCCTGGACAGCCATTTGATTCCCTCTGCTGAGAGCGGCGAGTCCAAGGTCTTCTACCACAAGATGTATGACTTTCCACGCAACCTTGTGCAACGTAAAGATCAACGACTGACCACCTTTTGTCCACAGGAAGGGCGACTACCACCGTTACCTTGCCGAATTCGCCGTTGGTGACAAGCGCAAGACGTCCGCTGACAAGTCCCTCGAGGCCTACAAGGCTGCCACAGATGTGGCCGCCTCGAACCTTGCTCCCACTCACCCCATCCGCCTCGGTCTCGCACTGAACTTCTCCGTCTTTTACTACGAGATCCTCAACTCGCCCGACCAGGCTTGCCAATTGGCCAAGCAGGCTTTCGATGATGCCATCGCTGGTAGGTCAAGCATTACAATCTTAATAAACTTGGAGCTAACGTGATCACAGAGCTCGATACCCTGTCTGAGGAGAGCTACAAGGACTCTACTCTCATCATGCAGCTCCTCAGGGACAACTTGGTATGATCCCTGTCTCCTGTGAATCCTGTCTCACTAACCCATTTATAGACCCTCTGGACTTCTTCCGAGGCCGAGCCATCTGCCGAGGCACCCGCTGCTGCTGCTGAGCCCGCCGCCGAAGCGCCCAAGGCAGAGGCCACCGAGCCCGCCGCTGAGGCCAAGGCATAAATGATCAAAATACTCTGCGCAGAAAGAGGACGCGGTTGACGACATGGAGCTTCTTGGTATGGGCGAATGATGCCTGGGTCATCGTTTGCTAATGGTATGGAGGTGTACTGGGGTGCTTGAGCCATTTGTGCTTTACTAGACTCTCGAAATCTTCATCCTGTCAACATCCAGACGCCCAATCACCCACCTAACTCGCTGTAGCACGTCTTGTACGGAACCTATATATCCATGTGGAGGCTCCTTTCAGATTTTCGTGTCTCTTATCAGGTGCTGTAGTAGTTTCACGCATGTGTTCTCCATTTCCTACGATCCTTCATACCCCAAAAAGATTTCGATTACAATCCCACATGCTATGCTCGCCAGAGCTGCGATAAGGCAATCATCTTCGCCATCCATTTGTGGCCTTGAACCCCACGGTAGCTTGAACAGTTGCTTCCCAACGTGTGATGTTCTGTTATTGTATCACTGCCTTGACTATTTCTAGCAGCAGAAGCTCTTGCACTGTCTTTGGCTTGTGACGAAGTATACATTAGTCTTTTCCTAGAGCCATGTGGCTACTCTTTTCTTCGTCTGCGCTACTTGTACATGTTTGATGCGCGCCCTTGACATACGAAGCACATAATGACCTGATGAGGCCTCGACATGTGGATGCATTGGTGACGAGTCAGGTTCCATCGCGGTCATTGCATACGAGATCACTCGGTGATGGCACACATTGATCAGTAGTTCCCTTGAGATGGAACATGAATTACATCCCTGCAGCGTTGCACGTTCGTCGGAACTTGTTCGCCAGCGTCGAGTCACTTGTGCTCGTGCGCCAATCGCGCCGCTTTAACCAGAAGCGTCGCCTTGCATATGCAGGTTTGCTAAAGCAATTTGCTACCGTTCACCGGATATGCAGCTTCGCGATTGCTCTTCTCAGCCTTGTGGACAGCTCAGCAGCTGGAGAACCATGGATTTCTACTCTGTGCCCTTAGCCCCCAGCTGTACTGGAGAGCACTCATTGGTAGATGACGCCATAGCCTCAAACCACGCCCGCTGCGCGGCGAGACTATCGATAATGGCAGGCGCGAGTGATTTTACGCTTCTCAACACCCACCCTCCCTACATAACGCAGTTGTAAAATCCCGGCTGGCGAGCTTTGAGGTGGTGACTCGTGCGCGAATTTGTCACTGTGCGCTGCTTCTTTTCGCTCCATCCTCCTTTCACAGTCCGTTGTCTCGAGGGCTCATCAACACGCATCGCGAACGCTGAGGTCGCAGCTGCCTCTTTCCGTCCCAGGTCCTTCTCAAACATCGCACAACGCCTCACGATTCACTTCTCTTCACTCACACACTCACACTCACACTCACACTCACACTCACAATCGCGCTCACCTCTGCCTCGCCCCCAGGCGTACACAAAAGCTCTGCTGTCCGCCGTTCCGGCATCTCTTCACGCACCACACACCTCCTCCACTTCAGCCTCGTAGAAATTCCCAAGGTCAACCACATCCAGTGACCAGCAAATTTTACACGTTGCAGTCGATCGTGGCCTTTACCCGGCGGGTCAGGTGTCAGCATGGCCTCCACCGCCGCTCAGCGCGTCGAAGACCAGATCCATTTCATCCAAGCCGTACTTCAAAACTACGAACCAGACCATCCTGATTACGGCCTGTACCGCCGCCAGCTCCAGCAACATGAGCAGCAGCTAGCCAAAATCCAACAAGAAGAGACAGTCGATGCGCAACCGACACCCACACGAGCATCCTCGTCGAGTGCAGAGTCTCTTGGTCCTTCGCGCAAGCGCAGCGCGGGACTGACTGCTGATGGTTACGAGCCTGAACCAAAACGTGTCAGCGCCCGACCGAGCCCGCAGACATCAAGTAGTCCCGATTCGCTATTCAACGCGCCCAATCAGCAGCAGTGGTCACTTCCGAGCAGGCCTGGTGAGACTTTGGGCCACAGTGATGCGACAGCCTTTATCGACTTGACCGTTTCCGATCCACCCAGCCCTGTCGATCCATTTCCAGAGCTTGTGCATGCCTTTCAGGACGACGGCGCTCGCCCACTTCCAGCAGATGCCTTCACCCAAGAATTCATGCCTGCTGAAGAGCTAGCACAATTTCTCATCACCCCAACACCGGCGAATGGCGGCTATGGCTTCCACCAACAGCAGCGCAACCGAGCTGCGATGGCGGACATGAGGCAACCGCAGTTGCCCGTCAATTTCCTTACCCGTTCCATTCCTTACTTACCTGGTCCACAGCGCCCAGACTGGATGAGGGGCGACAGTGAAGACGATGAAATGTGTGGTGACTTCCCACTGAACGCTACTGAGGCCGACGCAATCGAGAAGATGCTCGAGATCGTTCAGCAGAATGGAAACGACGCAGCATCGCCAGATGACAGAGAGCAGACGCCAGAAGTCATGAGTTCAACTTTGAAGGAGTACCAGAAGATCGGTCTTACTTGGCTGCTCAAGATGGAAGCTAGCAGGAACAAAGGCGGCATATTGGCGGATGAGATGGGGCTTGGTAAGACGGTAAGTCTTCGAGAAGCTGGACTATTCGCGAAGTCCAGCAATTATCTCCTGCTGCCAGAATCTGCGCTTACGTTAACCAGGTTCAAGCACTTGCGCTCATCTGTGCTCACCCTTCTCAAGACCCTCTCTGTAAGACGACCTTGATCATAGCACCGGTCGCTCTCATGCGCCAGTGGGCGAAGGAGATTGCCTACCATGTCAAAGACCGCCACAAGCTCAGAGTCTACCTGTATCACGGCAATGGCAAGAAAGCAGATTTCAATCTACTGCGCCAATATGATGTGGTCCTCACGACCTTCGGCACTCTCACTTCAGAGTTCAAACAGAAGGACTCGCGACGCGAGACGATGCTCTACGAGCGGGAACTGAACGAACCAGGCTTCCGGCGCAATCCTCGCGACAAGCTCGCGCTACTTGGTCCCGAATGCATGTGGTATCGCATCGTTATCGATGAGGCTCATATGATCAAGAACCGCAACTCTCTTCAGTCCAAGGGCTCCGCTGATCTGCAAGCGAAATACCGTCTATGTTTAACAGGTACACCGATGATGAATTGTATCGACGAGCTGTATCCAATGTTACGCTTCCTCGGAGTCAGTCGCTACAACGATTGGAAGATGTTTGCCCTCGAGATTGCGAAGCCTGCCAAGCATCAGAACCAAGACACCCGAGACCGAGCCATGAAGCGTGTGCAGATTCTGCTTAAGTCAGTAATGCTGCGACGTCAGAAGACATCAGAAGTGGACGGCAAGCCCATACTGAACCTTCCAGAGAAGCACACCCATCTTGGTAACGTCGAATTTAGTGACGATGAGGCTGGCATTTACAAAGCTCTTGAAGCTAAGTCGCGGATTCAGTTCAATAAGTACCTCAAGCAAAACTCGGTCTCGGCAAACTACGCGTGTATCCTGGTTCTTCTACTCCGACTACGCCAAGCCTGTTGTCACCCTCACTTGATCAAGGATCTAAGTCAGCCTGCCACAGAAGGCATTGCAGAGGACGATCTGCTCGAGCGTGCCCGTCATCTGTCGGATGATGTTGTTGGCCGCTTGAAGGCTGTTGAAGCCTTTGAATGCCCAATCTGCTTTGAGGCGGACCCGAACCCAACTATTATCATACCCTGCGGGCACACTGCGTGTGGCGGTTGCGTACAAAAGCTCATCGATCCGGCAAACCGTGTTCAAGACGGTAACGAAGAAGTCAGGACGGCGAGATGCGCTGAGTGTCGTGGAGACCTGAAGGCCAATCTCATTACCGATCTCAAACACTTCTATAGAGTCTTCTGTCCGGAGCGACTCGAATCCAATGAGCGTATTGAAAAGGTCGATGATGAGGACACCGACACCGACACCGAAGAAGATGATTTGGACGAGGAAGTTGGCGACGATGTTGACGATAACGGCAATCTTGCTGGCTTTGTGGTCTCTGACCAATATGAGGGTGATGAAGTTTGCAAAGCCAAGCATGAAGATGGCAGTGGAGTGCCTGAGCGAAGTGTCCAGGCCGCTTCCAAGAATGTTAAGAAGTCCAAGGGCAAAGGTAAAGCTCGGGCGCAACCGAAGAAAACCTTGGCTCAATTGAAGAAGGAATCGCTCCGCAGTAAGGCCGCGAAGCAGAAATACCTCCGTCGTCTTGACAGGACTTGGATCCCCTCGGCTAAAACTAGTAAGGTGGTCGAGCTGTTGACTGATATCAAAATGAAGGACTCGACTGAGAAGACTTTGATCTTTTCCCAATTCACTTCGCTACTGGACCTTGTGGAAGTCCCGCTAGTTCAACACAAGTTCCGCTATCAGCGCTACGATGGCAGCATGACTATGGATGCCCGTGCCGACGCTGTAGAGGCATTCATGCATGACCCAAACGAGACCATCCTGTTGGTATCTCTCAAAGCTGGTAACGCCGGATTGAATCTCTGGAAGGCTAGCCAAGTCATCATGCTCGATCCTTTCTGGAACCCTTTCGTCGAAGAACAGGCTGTTGACCGCGCTCATCGCATGCCCCAAAACCGTGAGGTCCACGTTCATCGTGTCCTCGTGCCTGAGTCAGTCGAGGACCGCATTTGCGCACTTCAGGACAAGAAGCGCGAAATCATTGGTGCTGCTTTAGACGAAAATGCTTCGAAAGGACTGGCACGCCTTAATGTCCGCGAGCTCAAGTATCTTTTCGGCATGGGCTAAGTCGCTTTACACACAGCCTGTGTGACTATCATCGCTTTTCACGTTTTCTTTTCTTTTCTTTTCAAATGCCCACACACCACGCGACACGACAATGTTTACTTCTTCACATCTTGATACCCGATCTATGCGATCACAAATAGGGGTCTGGCGTACATCGGCTATCGGAAAGTGAATATGGCATTCTCACTATGGAAGAGATCTGGTCCCAGAGGATGTCATGCAGGACGAAATCGCAAGAGCACACTGGTGTTCCACGTAAATAGCAAATCAACGCAGAGTTTTCTCGGTTATTCACAAATGCGACGTTGAGTATGATACTTGCAAAGTCTGATTACATAAGGATACTTCTTGGAGATTCTATCATGCTGGTATGAGTACGGACCAATCACACGCAAGTTCGATTTAATTTACTAATGTCATGAATACATTTTATTAATTTAAGCCAATGCTGGATATGCTACAAGTCCCAAAGAAGGAGGTATCTTAAAACACACAACTTTTCATAGTTAGGTCTAGGAATTTCGTTTACATGATCATTACAATATTCTCGTTGTTGTTATTGTTGTTTTTGTCGTCGCCGAGGCAGAACTAGTGCTCCAGCATCGCATAGACGCTATGTACGTACCAGAGACTGGTACACTCATCTTGCTGCATGCTGTGCTACTAGATGTCGGAGAAGACGAGGATTTTGAGGTTGAAGCAGATATAGGAGTGCTGGAGACAGCAGCACCCGCGTACTTTGAGGAACTTGAGGTGTGTGCAGATTTCCCCGTGGAGTATGAAGAAGACGGACCTAGTGCTGATGCTGACGATTTTGGCGTTGCCGTACTCTGAGATGTTGTCGCACGTGTACTTGAGCGTGACGCCGCTGTAGATGAGGACGGCACGCTTGTCGAAGGCCTGGAACTGTTCGGCTTTGAGATTGCGTTCAGAGTACTTGACTTGGAGGCGGGCGCACTAGACCTGGCAAGGGACGTCGCCGGCCTAGAATCTGCCTTTATACTCTCGGAGCTTCCGCTTGAGGAAGCTGGCATTGGCCTCGGTACAGTGTTGCTCGTTGGGCGGCTACTTGCTTTGGTGTCGAATAACTTGCTCAAAGGTCTGCCAGCCTCCCTGATCGCAGCCGACTCTGTACTACTGCACTTTGTCTTTGTAGATAAAGTATGGGGCGTAGAAGTAGTCAAGGCACGAGAAGACGAAGATGAAGTCTTACGAGTTGATGCACTCTTGCTAGCTGGTATAGGCTTTGTAGTCGAACAGATATTGGTAGACGAAGCCTTTGGCGGTTTGCTGAACTGTTGCAAGGTGAACAGTCTCGTCACAGAGGCGCTGCTTCTCATGGTAGCTCTATCGAGTGCGGTTTGTGCCGTCACCGCCTTGCTAGTAGAAATGCTTGCTCTCGTGACCTTTCCTCTGGTCTTGGTTGCCATGGAGCCTGTAGGATGAGAGACAGATGCTGGACGCTGCGTGCTCGAACTTCTCCTTGTGGTCTTCGAGATCGTGAGTGTCTTTGCAACCGAGCTTGATCTTTCGCCCGTAGTAGCAGACATCTTTCCTGTAATGCCAGAGCTGGAGAGTCTTCTGGAAGTGCTGGTAGGCCTAGTCAATGTTGTCATAGTAAACTGTCGAGACTTTGTCAACAGACTTAAGGACTTTGATGTTGAGGCCATGCTCCTAGTATCAGCCCCACTAGATCCTGTCTTCGAGCTAAGAGTAGTAGTGGAAGAGGGTCTAGAAGGTGTCGTCGAGTGAGGTAGTGATTGTAATGCCGACAAAGGATTGAGATCTGGGCTCTGAATGGTCTTAAGCAGAGAATTTGTGCTCATAGGGATATATGTGATTGTCATGCTGCTGCTCAAGCGAGCAAGCATTGTGGGTTGTGATGATGATGCACTGCTGCTCATCTGGCTGCGCGGAGTCGAAGCAGTCGGGAAGATAGATGAAAAAGAAGTTGTGGAAACAAAGTCCTCATGAGCAGAAGAGGACCTGATGGCACCAACTTGTAACAATTGAGTAGATATCGGGGTCTCGGTAGGCATCGCCGCCTCATATGACGTTGATTTATATGCAGAAGTGTCGCTCGGTGATGAGATGCTGTCGTTACTCGGTTGCGGTGCCTGAACCGACGGCGCATCATTTGCAGGCGTGGATAGCTCGTCTGTGAAAGTACCAGTAGGCTCGCCCATAGGAACAGAAGCTGCTGAGCTTGGAACCGAACATGTAGAGAGGTCTTGGTTGGACACACTGTTTGTGATTTGATTCGATACCAAGCTGCCACTGCTAGCTTGTGTTGTTGTAGGAGATGAAATCGTAATATCTTGAATGGTGTTGAAGAGCGTTGACTCGTTGATCGATGCGCTCGAAACAGCAGTACTGGTTTCCGCCACTTCGGTCGATGAGTGGCTAGTGGCAGCACTGCTGGGTTCAATCGCCGAACCCGAAGAAGACAATGTCACTAACTCTGATGATGTTGGAGTGGAGTCGTCACTCTCCGTCGTTGTTTCTGGTAAGCCAGATGGTGACACCATAGTACTTGTTTCAATCGGCAGAGACGTAATGGTTTGAGGGGCCCCTAAGCTTGAAGAGTAGGTTAAAATTGTAGACAGGCCATCTGCTTGTTGTTGCGACTCAGTAACACCAAGGTATATCGATGCCAAAGCTTCAGATACCGATATCGGCATTTCTTTAGTGGTACTGACTGCGTCGCCAGTGCTTGCCAGCGTAACGGAAATGGGTGAGTTGCTCATCAAAGATGTCTCCAAAGCTCCATCAACTGTGGTTGTCACGACAGAAGACGCAAGACTTTCTGAAACCAACAGAAGGCTTGTCGTTTCCGGCGTAGCAATGTCAGAACTGGGTACAGCTTCCTCTAGAGACATTGTAGAGCCTGGCAAGAGCACAGACGAGGTCTCTGGTGCTAGAGGTAGCGGCTCACTGAGGGTTGAGAAGCCTTTTGCACTTGATGGGAGTGTTTCGATACCTGTCGTGTTCAGATTAAGAATCTCTGTTATAGACAGTGGGTTGTTCGTTGTGTTGGGGATGGTAATTGTGGAAGAGCTGATGAGTGAACTCGAAGATGACGCCGTGCACTTTCCGCTGACATTTAAGTCTGAATCTTTTGGGGCTGTTGCTTGTTGTGCTGGCAAAGTCAACGTACACTCTTTCAGTTCGTTGATGTTATTGACGCCCAGGAGCGACAACCGAAGATAAGCTTTCGCATAATCAGCATTCCAGTGTGCCTGGCCGCCGACGAATTTTTGCCACTCGACCGCCATTGCTGGGTGTTTCGAAAGCTTGACATCTGATTCGAGCTTGAAGATGCACCCGTTCTCTGTTGCATCGAGCGTTTCATTGTAGTAATTGACATCCCATACGCCAGGGGTGGTGTCTTGCGGATACCCAGCTTTTGAAGCATCGACATTACTTTGAGTGGAGGTAGAATGAGCACCCATAAGTGCTGTCAATTCGTGTGCAGAGATTGTTTTGTCTGCAAATAGAGCAATCAGCTCGTCCGCGGGTGCATGGACACTTGGTAAGAGACCTTCTGGAGCTGCCTCAGTCGCGTCCTTGCGACCGACGTAAGTCCGGACGCGGGGCCCCAATGGACAAGACACAACGGCGTGATTTGCCATGTACTGAATCAAATCGGCCATTGTGACATTGTATGTGTGATACAGCCGACTTGCCAGGTCGACTGCACCTTCCATACCGAAATTTTCCTATGCCGGTATACAAAGTCAATTCATATATCGCGTGGATGGTGTATGTTGGAGCTCGCTTACAGGTCGACTCAATTCTCCGAAAAGCACTAGACTGCCATCCGCGCCCCCATTATTCTTTCCAGATGCGGCCAATTTGGCTGACCAAGTTCCAGCGTCATGGAAGCCCATTCGGATCGATTGTCTTGCTAGGCTGTTACATGTTCCGTCGGCGTTATGAAAGACTGCAGTAAGGTCTTTAGAAATGTAGTACCATCTACAGCATGGATCCTTCCCGTCACAGTCTGTATGGTCGTCAAAGCCTGGTCGAGTACCAATTTCGAAGTTCTCTTCAGTCGTCTTTCCGTTCCCCAACAAAATATCTGCAATGTTCTGCCCTTCAGGCGAGAGAATGCCATCGTTAAGGTCGCCGATGAGGCCGCCATCTGGTCCGTCGTCACCCACTTCTGGTAGCTCCTCTTCTGGTAGCTCCTCTTCTGGTGAGACCTCTTCAGGTTGCTCCGCCAGTGGTAATTCTGCTTCCGGCTCTTCTGCTTGCAGATCTCCGATTGTACCTGCACCAACGACTGCTGGTATTTCGATCTCTGGTGGTCCTTGCTGTATATCCACGACAGGAGGCTCATTCCCGCCAACTGGCAGATTGAGAGGTCCGACAACAGTGCCGTCGGCTATCGAGCCTACAATATTCGAAAGCATAGCAGCATCAACGGGTACATCTTGACGTCTCCCTCTCGATCTCCTGTTCTTTGCGGCGCTGATGCTGTACCGGGTCCATCTTTGTCGCCTCTGCTCTCTTGCATCTCGGACTTTTATCTCGAAGCTAACCTCGTTGTGTAAGTGGGCTTTCACTTCGCTTGTGAGCAGAAGTACAGCTAACAGCGGTGGAGGACGCATGATGCTGAGTCCAAATATCGACCAAGCCCTGTCCTAGAAATTGGGTTGTTGTATAATAATTGTGCTTTTGGTAGAGAGGTTTGAACGTGGTAGCACTGCAGTAATAGAGACACATAAGGTCCCGTAAGTGTATACTTATCCACTGTCGACATTCTCATGCCAAAGGTCCAGCCTCATAGGTACATGCCCTTCGACGATAGAGTACATGATGGTAGCTATTCTAGTGACGGACGTAGCCCTAATTTAGCATTGCTTGTGCTCAAGTTGGGCTAGTGAATTAACGTATGTGTAATGGACTCGTTTAATGCCGTGAGAAGATGGTCGAGGCTCTTAAGCGAAGGAATTAGGCCGCATGTGGCTTGTGGTGGCTGACCCTTAGCCAGCCATGGCGAAAGTCTAACTGCGCGGGTACTTCGTATCCGCGTCCAGTACGAAGCCTTAGAAGCTGAGAAAGCCCCACCGGTAGCATAAAAGCCAGCGAGGATAAACACCAACCAGGCTCAGCAGGCCTCCTCGCAGATTAACATCTACAATGACTTAATATATTCGCATTAGAGTAGTTTCGTCATGAACAACTTCAACTACATCTTGAGAACGCATATATTATACCATAGCAGCAGAGGGTAGAACAGTGGAGCCACGTTCAGCTGCCAAGAAGGGGACAGCGCCATCGGACGGTGGCAAGAGCGAGAACCAATATTTCCAGCCGATCACCAACTAGAACGTGGTGAAAAGGTTAACGATCTCGCCCTGTCTTCGCTTCCGAAGCCAATCACAATTCCGGAGTTAGCTGCGGCTACATCTACGGCTGAGTTAGCGCCCCCAATGGAAGTTACAGGTCTGGAACCATTGATGTGTGGCGAGTGTCTTTGCCTCAGAAGTTCACGTCAGGACAAACACGAGGAAGACCAGGCTCTGAGCTATATTGTGCCATGACAAAGTCGAACGCAACAGGAATGCGGCACTTCCGCAACAAGCTCAGCGTGTCATTCATGTAGCTTCATGCATGCACGGATAGTATATCTCTACCAGGCTGCTTTTCTAGTCCTTACTATCTATCGCAAAGTAGATCTAGTTGTAAGAGATTCTTCTGTGGACCCCTCAAGGAATTCATACTACTTAAAACGATGCAAGTGGACGATGAGAGCAACACTTAGAAGGCCAGCTGTCCCTATCAACGTTATCATACATTCCCTTATTAGTACGTACGAATACAGAGACATTTGCTGTTAATTTAAGCTTATACGTGTTATATGCGATAACTGCTTTAGAAATCTCGCTTAAAATATTAATGTTATAGTAGATATTAATCTTCTAAGAAGTAAGAGCTAGATCTTGCTTTAATTATTATAAGCTCTTTAATAAGTCTTTGTTCTATTCTCTTTAAGTAGTAATATATAGAAAGTTTTTCTAGATAAATAATCTTAAGTAAAGAGAGTATAAGGTAAACTATAGGCAAAGTAAGCTTAGATTAATAAGAAGTACTTATATTTAACTAAAAATAGAATAGTAGACAAAGAGTCTACTAAGAGAAGATAATAGCTAGCTATATATACTATAAGATATATAGGCTCTAGCTAGCGCCTACGCTAGCCTAGAGTAGACTAGCTCTAAATAAAAGAAAAGAGAAGAGAAAGCTTTAGCTAGAGTAAGTAATATATACTAGAGTATAGATAGTAAGTTAGAGTATAGATAGTAAGTTAGAGAGTAGATAGTAAGTTAAGTAAAGATACTTTACTTGCATATAAATCTCTCTAGTATCTCTTATAGAGAGTATTATAGATAACGTAACTAATTACTAAGCTAGCTATATTACTAAGCTAGCTACTTTTTCTTAGTACTGTAAACACTATATATAAACTATTATACTATTTTAAAATAGCTCTAACTTATTATATAAAGAAAGTAGAATTAATCTTACTCTTTAGACTTATAACTTAAGCTAATTTAAGAGCCTATAATGCGCTGCTACTACCTTTAGCATATAATATTAGCAGCTCTCTAATTAGCTTTATAGAATTATAATTTAAGCTTAAGTATTACTAAATTATTAGAAACTCTCTTCTATAGAAAAGCAAACTATTATATAATATATTCTTAATCTAGATATATAAGAATTTACTTTCTAGCTTTATAAGATAGTAGATATAGCTAATAAGCTATTAGCTATATATAGTAAGACACTAGTAAGCTAGTAATAGCCTTTATACTTTATTTCTTATATAGAGAAGCTTAAGATAGCCTTTAATTAAGTAAAGAATTACTAGAGAATACTCTAGAAAGACTTAGAGATTATTAGCGCTTAGTTTAAGCTTATATAAGAGATAAAAGCTAAGTATAAAGTTCTTAATAATAATACTATAACTTTAATAAGATAAGCTTCTAGATAGGTATTATTAGCTTAATAAAAGTAGTAACTAGCTTAAAGTATTATATAAAGCTAAATATAATCTAGCTAAGTAATTATAAGTAAGTTATAGTTATCTAAAGTATCTATACTACTAAGTATATAACTTTACTCTTTATTATCTATAAGAGATATATCTATATCTTAGCATAGTATAAGAAGGCTTTAATACTATATAACTAGAAGCTCTTAGTATCTAAGAATAGCTAGATAAATAACGCGCTTAGTCTAAAGTAATTAAAGTACTTTAATAAGTATATAAAGATATATTAGATAAGATTATATAAGCTACTTATCTTAGATAGCTATAAGAGCTATTTTAACTAGAATTTTAAGAACTACTACTTTATATAAAAGATTCTAACTCTCTATATACTTACTTATTTATTATATATACTTTAGCTACTTAATATAGTATACTTTTTACTATTAAAATAGAAGTACTTCTAATATATATAAGACTTAGTATGCTAATATATTTATTATATTAATAAAGAAAGCTTTCTCTCTGCCTTTAAGAATATATTTTTTAATATATTTATATATAAGAACTATAAATAAAGCCTTTAAGGTAGTAGAACTAGTTCTTATTAATATATAAAGAGTTCTTAATTATCTTAAAGTTTATCTTTATATACTACTACTAGTAGCTCTACTAGAAATGCTTTAGTAGTCTAAAATACTAAGTAATCTATATAAATTTAGATTATAATTAAAGGCTTATAAGAGAATCTATTATATAATTACTAATAAGCGCTTAAGAAAGCTTCTTAAAGCTTATTAAAGAAGCTAAGAAAATACTATATAAAAAATCTTAATTAAGGCTTATATATAAGAGCTTAAAGAGTAAATAGTAGAGTTAATAAGATATAAAGAGCATAAAAGAAAGTAAATTTAGATAAATAGTATAATAAAGCTTAGTATAAGCGTATTATAGATAGCTAAAAGTACTTCTACTACTTATATAATATCTAAGAAGAATAGTAATAAAGATAGTTAAGAAAGGCTCTAGCTAGCTTAATAACGCTATAGTAACTATAGAGAGACTAAATATAATACTTATATATATTAAAAAGATATAGAAGAAGATTCTAAATCTAATATAGCCTATATTATATAAAGAATCTATAGAGAGTATAAAGTAATTTTATATTTTATACGTAGTATTTATAATGCTAAGAAAAAGTAGCTAGCTTAATAGAGTAGCTAGCTTAATAGTAGAATATATTACTAGAAGAGTAGTAATTAATATAATCTTTTCTCTTAAGTTTACTTAGTAATAATAGTTATAAGCTTAGTGCTATAAAATTATAGAGTTAATTCTCTACTATATATCTTATATTTGCTAAGTACTTAAATTAATTATTCTACTACTCTTATTTCTCTTAAACTTCTTAAATTATTCTAATAATATCTATCTAAATAGACTAAATAGACTAGATAAAACTTTCTTCTATAGTTATTCTTTAAGCTTATAAAGACTAGCTAGCATAGTATATTTAGCTTAAAGTTTATGCTATTAAAAAGTAAATATAAGACTATATTAATCTAAATAGCTTATTATAGCCTAATCTTCTTAATAATGCTTCTTTATACTTAAGATTATCTACTAAGCTAGTTAAGCTAAAGAATTCTTCTAATAGAGCTACTAATAAAGTAAAAGCTAATTATAAAAAGTTATTATAAAAATATATTAAAGATATTAAAGCCTATATAGTTTTATTAGCTAACTATAATAAGAGAGTCTAATAATAGAAAGTTCTTACTACTAAATAGTCTTAAAAAGCTACTATACTTATAAATCTTTAAGACTAGATTATAAAAATAGTCTTACTAAACTTTCTTAAGCTAGTCTAGATTAGGCTTTCTTAAATAGATAACTTAAGCCTCTAATTATAACTTAAACTGCTTAAAGATTAGCTAGCTCTAAGTAAGGCTATAACTTAGAATTAAATTAGATAAAAGTACTAAGCTTATCTTAATAAAGCTAAGCATAGTAAGATTAGACTAGAGAAGTAGTTTAATAAATAGCAAACTCTCTATACCTAAGCCTAGATATATAATATTCTAGAGATTAAAGAGACTATTACTCTTACTAACTTTCTTAAAATAATTCTAGCAAAATATGCTCTAGAATAGGCTTAATAGAAATAAATAGAAGTTATAGAAAAAGTATCTCTAGAAAAGAATAATCTAATATTAGATAATATTGCTATAGTATTTAATACTATACTAACTAAGTAATTTAGAAGTGCTAGAAAAGAAAAGAGACTATTAATCTTTATAGTACTATAAGAAAGTAGTAGGTAATATAAAGATAAATAACTACTACTCTTATAAATAGAAAGATAACTATAAGAATAGTTATATAATACTTATAACTAGAGTAGCAAATAGATATAGGTTAGATTATAGTTAAGTATTATATAATATAAACTCTAAATTAACTTAATCTATACCTAAACCTTTTTGCTAGAATAGGTATAAGTTAGATTATAGTTATAAATATTTAGGTTAAAGTTAAGTTTATAGTATATAGGTATATATAGGTCTTAGTTAGCAATTTTTTTTTAATAGTAGAAGTAATATTTTA